GGGTGGTCGCATACGAAAGATATTTATGGGCCTTCAAAGTTGAAGGTGCGCCTTCTTAGAATTTTGGGTTTTCCACTTCTAACAGAAGTACTTTCCGGAGAGTTAGGCAATCCTTGTAGTTTTCTGAAAGCGCACCTCAGGCACAATCAAAATCTACCTCAACAAGTCAAAAAAATACGTCCCAAGAAAGTTATTCCCTCTAAAATTTTTTCTTCGCCGCGTCCCGTTCTTCCAGCGCCCGGGTGATACCTGCCGCGCTCCAAGGCTGACGCCGCAACGCAGACGCTTTCTGCGGCGGCGCAGACGCTTTCTGGCGCAACGGATTCATGTCTAGCACTCTTATTAACAAAAACAGGGGGTCGCAACTGGACCCCTCGAGAGCTAGGGGGTCGCAAAAATCCCGAAAATGTTCGAACGTGACGGTTGACCCTGAGGGGAACGCGGTCGGGCTGATGCATAATTATTGCGGATTTTTTTCGCGCTTTCTTTTTTCGAAAAGATTGGCGTTTTGTTTATTATTTTTCATGAAAATATTCTTCTCTCTTTCATTAACAAAAATGCTTATCGAAAATCATCTTCATATTCGCCATATATGCTCTACCACTTCGAGAAAGGTTGGAAGGCGGCAGAGTCATTTCGCGATCTCAACGAACTTTTCGGCGAGGGAACAATTAGCAAAAGCCAAGTTGAAAGATGGTTCAAGAGGTTCAAAACGTCACATTTACCGACCGAAGCTCCTACAGACTACCACTTCAATCAGTCGTTGAAAAACTGGCAAACGAACAAAATTTACGACGAGCTGGATGACTTGGTGGCCGAGGTTAGAGCGTGGATCGTCTCCAAGAATCGTGACTTCTTCACCCGTGGAATCGACCGACTGCCAAGCAAATGGGAAGCATTCTTGAAGGATGGTGACTACGCTCCGGAATAATCATTTAAACATGTTTTTGTTGAATATCTTTATCGTTTTCGCTGAATAAAATTTGTTGAAAAAATCCGCAATAATTATGCATCAACCCAGTATGAAGTTGGTTCGCTGTTCGCCGCGGTAATTGCCAGCGAGTTGCTCGAAATGGGTCTGACGAACCGATGCAGCATCGGTCAGTGATTTCAAAGCAACACATTTTATATTACTTACGTATTATTCAGAACAATGAAAAATAGGTAGGTTAAGAGACCCGGGATGGCACACGAGTGAATGACTTAAAATTGAAATTGGGGCAAGAGGGGAAATATAAGTACTGACTCACCCAATACAAGTGACCGATTGCTTCAAACAAAGGGCTAACGAGCACGCGAAGTTGTTTAAAAGCTCTGAGGACAATCATACTCTCGAGCCGCAGCGCAACAGGGACGAGTGCAGTGGCACCTGTTTGGTCCAAACACGAAGGCGCTGGTCCAGGGGTGCTTCAAAAGACAGTCAATTTTAGGTGTTGAGCTTGGCATGAGACTAACCACTTTCATTTGATGACATTTCTTAGGCCTGATACATTCGAGTGAACGTGCACCGCTGGGACTAAAAACTTTTGCTCCGTTTTCTTTTTACGATGGAATTCGCCCTAACAGGAATTTTTGCATTTCGCAGAAGAAGAGAGCCTTGGGTGCAATCAAAACAAAAATAAAATGTATAATAAATATTGATTCAATGTAAAGGAATGCTATGCGGGAAAGGCGCATAATGTTGTGAAACGCGAGCACTGCATAAACGGCATTTTGTATTCCATGTGAGCGGAACCACTTTCTTCAAATTATACAACAGATCGCGATTTATGGAAGAAGCTACAGCCTGTTAAATTCATTTTAACAAGCGTTTCAATCAATTATGATTTACGCCGAATAGGACAATACGATTGGAAATATTTCAAAAAGTTTTTTGAAGAATTGAATAATTTCCTGGCCATAAAAATTTGAGCTTTGCATGAGAAGTCTTGAGAAAAGTTCGAACAATAAGACGGAGAAAACAACCTACCCATAAGTTCTTGGCTTGCCATAAAATGCGTGATGAGTATGTTCAACGAGCGTAGGTAGCTTGCTTCGCTAGTGATCACCTAAGAAATATTCACTAGTAAATAAACAGACGGAATACCGACAACTGGTAAGAAGAAATCACGGAAAACCCTTGGAAACCTCCTCAGATTACAACAGAGACCGACTCAGACTCACTTCGAAGTAGGCCTCTTGTCGCATTCGCGTCTCCTCGTCCAATGTGGCTAGCAGACCGGCAGCCTTCACCTGTAGTGATCCTTCTTGTACTATGTAAAACTCCCTCCAAAGCCTTAATGGCCTACCTCTTCAAGTTCACACCACAGACTTCGCTGACTTCCAAAATGGGAAGTGGCTATCAATCGCTCCCTCCTCATGGATGTGTTCGACGTCAGTGCGGAAGCCGACGTCGAGCAGTCCGCTCCACGACCAGAGTCTGACGAGGCGCAAGATTCTCTGCGAAACTAAATGGAAAGAAGGTCTTGTTAAAAAATGAAAAAATAGCTGCAGATTTGAATAAAGTTGTAATCACAGTAGCCACAAACCAGATCAGTTGTTGTTGTGTCCGCCGTTGGCTCTTCTTGACCACCACCATTGTGTTCCATGGAGTCGCTCGCCCTCAGAAGGACTCCGTCAAAGAGTTTATCATTCTCTGTCAGCATGTAGATCTGATAGAGAGGTTGATCAGTTGGTAGTCGACTAGTGTACTGACGGGCGTAGTCCTCCTCTTCCGGCGAAGGTTCGTCCTACAATTCAATTCATCACGAAGCTCACGGAAATAAAAACGATGCCGCGATTCTTATTCAATGTCATCTCTTGTTTCTCACATACGCTCTTCCGGTTGTAAACAGTCGACAGCCGAGAAGAGGGTAATTTTGAGTTCACTTCCTTGAAATGTGACAAATGAATCACGAGTAGCTTTCGTCAAATTACGCGCATCAGGGTGACCAAAATGAGCTTCTCAGAGTCGACAAGAACATGTCAGTTCCACACATGTGAACCGCATTGGCTCCACATTTTCTTCAAACCTTTCTGTCGCGGCTGAAAAGAGTGGGACTGATTTGTCTGGACGTATTCCGTCCTTATGACCCCATTGTCGTCCATTGTCTTGGACACGTTCCTTTTTTCAGAGACGGTTGCATTTTGCGAGAAAAGCGACCAACAGCGATACTATCAGTCTCTTCAGCAGGGTCAAGCCTACCACTGAGAATTTTTGAAAATTTTTCACGATCCCCCTCCTCCATGAGAGATTTCATACGACCAACCCCCTCATTCACAACTTCTTCTTCCCTCAAAAGACACCGTCGAGCGGGAGGGGGGGGGGGCATGAAACCGCAAAAATTTCCCTTTATTTCCACTGCATCATTTCCTAGAGGGGATTTCTCGTGCGCGCTCTCACCTCATTACATGGAATTTCACGCTGCCGAAACAAGTGCGACCCCCCCTCCACCCAGGGTCGGTCCTATCGTTGTTACTTTTCGAAAAATTTTTACGACCCCCCTCCCCCAAGGTGGATTTGGTACGACCCCCTTTTCGACCCTCGACCACCATATTCCTCTCTATAGTATTTAATTCTGGTACCACTCAACCCACCAAACTCCGCCCACTTTTTCCTCCAAAAATGCCGTCGAGCGGGGGGTATATAGTCACTCTGAAACAGTAAAAATTACCTAAATTCCCTAAATTTCCACCAATTTACCCCCTCCTACCTTTAATCCCACGCTTCATTTTCTAGGGGGGTATATACGCGCGCTGAAACGGCAAATTTTCTCCCGCGCCACTCCCCACTCATCACATGCAACTTCTTACAATCGAAGCAAGTACGACCCCCCCTCTACAAACTCATCAAAATACGACCCCCCGTTGCTACTTGTAGCAACATAGGGTTGACCCTGCCTCCACCACCACAAACTCAACAACCCACGACCCCCCGCCGTTGGTACTTGTCCCAACGTAGGGTTTACCCTGCTGTTCAGGCAAAAATATGTACGTATCTGACCTCTCAGCGATATTAGCACTCTGGTGTAATTAAGTTCATGCACCCAGAATGGACTTTTTTCATGGGAATACTGCACTGTACCCTACCTCTATGAACTTTGGAATGTGGGTCGCGTCGGAAATTTGTACAGTTTCGGCACACTAGAGATACAACAAAATTTGTCCTGGGGATGTTTTAATATTCAGGGAATGATGAGTTAATATAAACATACGACCGTCGCACACACTACTTCCCTGAATAGAAATTTCGAGTACAAGCTGTGTGAAGGATCAAAAATCAGAAGCTTGAATAGATTAAACACTTGATGGAAAGCTGGTCAAAAGTCTCAAGAACGCATTTAGTAACAAGCAGCAACCTCGAGAATTTCAATTAATTTATGGTGTTCTTCGATCATCCTTCTCAACTATTCATGCGTGAAACTCGCTGGTATAATTCCCAGTGCTTTAGTTAGCTTGTTATGGTTTCAGGCGGTCCACAGAATTAGCGATCAAGAAAGAATTCAAGCGAACGGAATGCTAGGGTAGCCAGAATGCGCTTCTTGCGGATGATGAGCGATAACGAGACTGATAGGAATTAAGAGACCGGTACCGTGGTTTAGGCAGTGTTGTGAGCCTAACGATAGCATTCTACCTCCTGTCATCCGCAACTACAATAAATGTCTCAAAAGCGCACTCAAAAAGCTGTTTCCGACCACCTTTGAAAAAATGGGCTAGTGGTTTTGTCTGCAGTAATAGGTTCACATTCCCCGAAGCGGTTTCTATGAGTGCTCTTGCTGAAGTGTTGGAAGAAATTGCTTATCACCTCACTTTACTAGGGAGTGATTTAAAAAAATGCCGGAAGTTGAAAATAACTATGCGAAAGAACTATTTGAATATTGAAAAGAATTCAGCAAATTTCTTATGCAGTAAATTGAAGAGGCTGATTTAAGTCAAGTCTCATACATACCCTCACATACAAGTTCGCAACCAGTTGAGCAACACCGGAGGGGTGTGAGGCTTAGATGGCTAAAACAGATAGGATCTGATATTCCACCCCTGAACGAGCTGAACGTGATAAGTGGCGGCGTATCCTGCTGGGCCACCTTCGCCCTCATAAAATAAATGGGACAGGTGAAAGCCCTTCTGTAGAAGAACAGGAGCGAATTTCGACCAGCATTCCCGATATCGAAGAATATCTGAGAGAAAAGTAGGCGTGGAAACTTGCACGAATTCACCATGTTGTTAACAGAGACGGAGAGCTCGGCGAATTTGAGCGCTTCAGGGCGGCTTTGGCGATCGTCCGATTGTGAATAGTCGGGGGTGTCGTACTCGTACTCTGAAAACGTCAAGATGCTGCAGTGAACCCTGTGCATTGACGATTTATGAGGATTTGGCAATTATTTAAAACTCAAAGATTTTCAATGAATGTCATGCGCATGGCACATTCCAGGCCGCTGCATCAAGCCACCTTATTCTCGAGCATATATGGGAAAAAACTCACCGGATTCCATCTTTGTATGTGATGAAGGGAAAACTCGATTCAACTGCTGCTCTAGCTCCTTGTACATTGAAGAGCGACGGTCATCATAGACATTTTGATCTGAAATGTTTCTTTTCAAATGTCGACTGCGCAGCAGCGAAGGATGCATTGTTTTTTTTTCTCGTCAGAATCAGGGTTACATGCTACCCTGTTCTCTAACTGGGTATATAGAGGGTTCTAAACGGAGAAGTCTCCGCCTCTTAAGATATTTTGGTAGCGCAATCCTCGCGTACTGCATATCTCTGATGTTTTGAAATCACAAGGATAAAGGATAAAGCATTTGCCGTTGATCAATCCCTTTTTGGGATGCGGCACGCATTCTACTTCCATTTGTACATTCGTAGTGGCGTTTGAATGCGATGTGGCCTATACAATGACTTGCGGGGGCCAGCCGATGTACAAGTCAGTGTTTTTATCCTCCCAGACAAGTCTAATTAACCGACCCCGGAGGGATGGAAGGCTTGGTTGGCCCGGGCGACTCACGACCCAGGATTTGATCCCCGGACCGCTCGCGTGGTAAGCGTGCCACTTGCCACTACGCCACTTCCGCAATTTTTTGAAATCATTATGAGAAAAATCTAAGAATAGACCAAATCACCCTAAGCTATAACAACTATTTTATATCAGTTGCTTACAGTAGA